ATACGGAGACTGTTGACGAGCGACGCTCCGTCATAGTGTTAAACTAAACACCGACAAGCCACACCGATAGTGGGGACCTTTGGGATATTTTGTTCGGTGGATTTATCACCTTCGTCAGACACTCCAAAACGTACAGAGCCCTGGTGGGTTGGCTTTTGTGCCATGGATGGATTTATTCTGAGCAGTAGAGACCAGCATGACCCACTTTCGTGCTTTGGATGGATTTATTCTGAGCAGCAGAAACCAGCATGATCCAACGCCTGTCACATGTGAGAGGGCGGGCTTGTCAATAGTTTGGAATAAACTCCTCGCCGTCTCCACGCTTTGTCAAAATGGGGGACGCTGTTGTTCTTGGTCTCCAAAAACCTGTCCCATATCGGCCCGCTGCCAGGGCCCGTGTTGTGTCGTTATTCTTACTGGTATCTCGAAAAATGGCACGGGGCCCGCAGTCTTCCGCAGGCCAGAAGTGGAAACATGTTGTGATGGCTGCGCGTTGAACTCGCACCGCACACGCCATGTACACGGAGCCGATGGCACCAATTGTAAAATGGTACAGAAGTACTAAAAAGGCATTTTATTGTCTGGCGCACCAGCTACTTTTGTTCCGGTCAGAGGGTCAGAGAGATAGTTTGCGGATAGACGCAGTCATCTGAGTATGCTGCTCCTTCCGTAGTTTATAAAACCCCTTGATAAATATTAGGCTTGTGGCGAGAAATGCAAAACTACCGCGGGACTCCAATTCCAATTGTACGAGAAATTTGGAAGTATGTACAGCATCTAGACTGAACGGTTGTGGTGTAGGACAATAGACTGCGGCCCCTCTGCACATCTTTCTATTCTGCAATGCCCTTAACAAATCACATGATAGATTCATACCTACATCGGGGAGCAGATGTGAGTGATATCGATGAGGGCTCTGTTGGGATCTGGGACGTGACAACAACCCTCTTGGCACCTGCTCAGGTCCGCCACCCAGGGTGGCTAATAAAAGGGATATGGTGTCTTGATTCTCGGTACGCGACCGCTATTTCTACGCCAGTTTTAAATATTTACGCAGCATTAATGCTTATTAGGAGTCTTTGGATTTTTTTTATTCGTTGCCATACATAACCCATGCTTAACTCCTCGAGATGAAGTCCACCATTGTCATCAGCATTCTGGCCGCCTGTGTTGCTGCTTGGAAATACCCCAACTGTGAACATGACAACTGTTACCGTGCCTTGATCAAGGAGGCTCTTCAGGATGAAGCCAAGTCCTTTTGCTTCGATTGGCTTGCCAGGACTATGGCTGCGACTCCCTCTATTCCCGCCGAGTTCAACAACTGTGATGCCAGGGCCGCCAGCTCTGCTTGTTCGTGCATCACCTACGCGGCTATTCACACGGCCGGTTCCGCCGCCACCACTACCATCCCTTGGATGTCTGCCTCTACCAGCACCATCAACAAAAATCCTCCCGCAAATCCTCCCACAGTGGCGATGATCACGACGAAACAGATTCTTCGTACCGCCACCGCCAACACTGAGCGGACTCGCACTATATGTTCTACTGTTCATGTTCCTCCTA